TAAAAATATAGATACTGCTGTTGTACTTTGGATGTTTATGACCGTCCTCCAATTTGATTAATTTTCAGATCTTTGTCAGAGATTTAGAGAAGAGATGAAAAACTCATTTTGAATTACACACAGTGTGTTTCAAGAGCCTAATTTCAGAGGGATTTAAAATAATCAAACCTCAGTTAATTTCCAGAAGTCTGCTGGCTGGCCTCTGTAGACCAAATCCCAGGGTCTGCCATCAGTGAGGCATTTGAGAAGACAGCACAGAGTTTATTAAATACTAAGTTGATTAWGTCCACATAATGCCTTAATTAATTTCTTTAAAAGATCAGTTACATGTAAATTAAATAAAATCCCTTTGATTAAATAAATTAAATAAATCACTGGATTAAATAAATTCATTCAAGTTATTTATTTTGAAATGTTCTTTTTTTTGCCAGTATTCTGATTTGTATTGTAAAAAGACAAGAACAAATGAGCATAATTTTGGATCCACTCAGATTTAGAATCGCTTCTAGTTACGTTTGTTGCATCTTCGAGCCATAGTGCAGCCTTACAACCTCAATGYGCTTCAGACTCTTCTGGTACCAGATTAAAGATTTCTGGGTTCAGCTCTGATTCTCCCTTATTGGCAATCTGAAATAAAGCCTGATAGTGTTTGATTAACATTCTGTGACTGACACATATTTGCAGCTTTGTAGCCCTGCTTACAAATTTGTGTTAAAAACTATTACTGATAGTAATTATTTAAGATATCTTCACAATCTTTTGTACAGGCTCCAGCTCTAAGATCCAGACCACGCATTGCAAATCCACATGTCAGGACAGTATCTTTGCCAGTGAACAGCACTGCCTGGCTGACCTGTGAAGCTGAAGGAGACCCAAAACCCTCCATCACATGGACCAAGACTGCCACAAGTATGCATCAGAGTGTAGTCAAGCATGAAACACATTTACACCAAAGGCATTTTACTCCCATCAAATTACTCAGACTTTGAATTAAATATATACTGCATTTATTCATGTATAATACCAGAAATTTTACCCTGAAAATCATCCATAAAGTGGGGTGGGGGAAAGGGGTATTATACACGGCTTATTGATAATTCGATTTTTAATGCATTTTAAGCTCAAACAATGATGATTGTGTCATACATGAATAATCACGGTAAATGCAGTCACATAAAATCAATATTATGTTGCGTTCAAATCATCTAAATCTACAGAAAACTCCCACAGGTTTTAAAATAAATTAAAGTGCTTTGGATAAAAGATTCAACCAAATGAAGGAAAATGAATTATAAATTTTCAAAAAACTGTGCTGATATTTTAAAACCATTTTTTTGAAAGTTTGGACTAAAGTTTTAAAGTCACCAATTGTGGAAAAAAAATAATGCTGGCTTCCATGTTTTATAGCTAAATAAATATGAATATGTCTTACTGTGATACAGTGTATATATACTGTATATA